GTGTGCGCATCTCTGTCTGAAGTTGCGCATCTGTGTATGTCTTGTGTGTGTGCGCGCGTTTGCACGGTGGGCCGTGTGTGCACACGTGTCTGTCTGTATGTGCCTGCGGTTTATGTGGGTTTGTGTCTCTGGATCATGGTTTGACTGTGAGCGTGTGCCAGCAGGAATGCAGGGGCCGCTCTGTGGCGGTACCAGCACGGCCCCCTGGGGGTAGGCGGGCGGGGCTAGGAGTGTAGGCGGCTCCCTCTGGAGTCTGAGGATTTGGCCTTTACCTGCAAGGGGTGGAGGGAAAGTTGAGACCATAAAGGCAGAGGGGCGGGACATGCCAGACTCAGAGCTGCTCCCTGCCGGCAAGCGCTCAGAGCCAGTGCCTTGGAGTTGGAGTGTATCCGACTGTCTGTGTCTGAGCTGGGTGTGCGCTGGAGCCTGGAGCTGGAGCCCTCATCTGTGAGCCCTGAACAAGATTCCTGAGCCCAGGCCGCCTACCACTCCACAGACCGGGCATGGAGGCCTCCCGGGGCTGGGGAGGGCTGGCTATGCTCTGGTGCCTCGGGCTCCTAGGCAGCCCAGTAGGCGTCACTGGGACTCACTACCGCTATCTGTGGAGGAACTGCTACCCATGCCACCTGAGCCAGGCCGGCTACCCCGTGAGCACCGGTGACCAGAGGCCAGGTGGGCGCCCCAGGAGCAGGGCTGGGTGGGATCAGGATGCCCCTCCCTAGCACGCTTCCTTTGTTTCTTTCTCTCTTTTATTTTTGTTTGATATGTACAGGGCGTTTTGTCTGAATGTATGTATGTGTACTGTGTGCATGCAGAGACCTCAGAGGCCAGAAGAGGGCGTTGGAGCTCCTGGAACTTGAGTTACAGACAGTTGCAGGCTCCATGTGGGTTCTGGAATCAAATCCTCTGGATGAGCAGCAAGTGATCTTAACCACTGTGTTGTTAGCCCTCATTTCTCTTTTTCAAAGTTTATGCCAGGCCCTGAGCACAGGGGAGTCAGCCTGGGAAGGGCCCAACAGGTGCTTAGTCCTGCTGAGACAGGACCCTGGTGTGTCCCGAGCAATCCAGCCTTCCCATCCTGCGACAGCAGGGAGGTCACTTCCCTGGAGGAGACGGATGCTCCTGGCTTTTTGAGCTAAGCTTCCTGTGTGCCCACTCCCCTGTCTCAGCCACTCTGGAGTTAAATGAGAAGGGAAGAGCTTAGGGACCTTTTGGGACCTATGTGACTATGGCAGGTGCTGTCATTTCAGCCCCCGGGCAGCGGGGTCACTTAGAGGCTCTGGGCTTGAGACTCTGGCAGCCGTGTGGATTAGGATTCTCTTATTCTCCCTCACCCTGGAAGCTGGGATTTGATGCTTCTCCCTCCACGTGGCTGTACACAGCCTGGAGCTGGGCACCCTCAGGAATGTGACTAGAGACTGTATTCAGCTCCTCAGTGACTCATCACTCACACCCCAGGGAGAGGCAAGGGCCTCTGGTGCTCCCTATCAATCCCTCCCAGACTGGAGATGTCCCTGGGGCGAGTCTCAGTCTTCCATGCCCAAAAGGCACCCGGGTGTAGTCAGATACTATACTGTGTCACTCAGTTCCGAGGGTCCTAAAGTCCCCAAACCAGGCCAGGCTGGCATGTCACTGCCTTGTTGGTGGCACTTGGGAGCGTGTCTAGCATCAGAAGGTCTCACTTGGGCATGGCCAGGCTTTGGAGAACTTGGAGCCCGGTGTCTGCACTGAGGCTTTTCCAGTGGCAGAGGGAGAAGAAAAGCCAGTGGACTCTGGTTTTCAGAGTGAGGACCTGGTGTCCTGGTGCTTGGCAGAGTGGCAAGGTCCCAGAGGTGTTTTCTGAAAGCCACGGCGAAGCTTGAGAAAACTCTGAGATGTTTTCCACGAGGCAACATTTGGCGACTGGCTGCCCTTGACTGTCATGTGTTGTTGGGCCAGGAACCGGTGGGGGTGGGTAAGGAATGGTGCCCCTGGTCCCTCTGATGGCATTCTTTGTGCCTCCCGGCAGCACCACCAGCCTCGGCTTAGCAGGTACTTACAGGCTTACCCAGTGCCCACGGGAACTGGCCCAGGTTGGCACAGCGATGTTACCATGTGCTGCTGGTCCTATCATGAGCGCCAAGTTCCCAGTCACTGGTCAGAGCCGATGGGGGCAGAACTAGTTAAAATGACTTTTCCAGTTCCCCCAGCTGGTACTCTTCCCTGGTACTCTTGGGGATTCAGTACGCAGTGGGTTTGCCTGCTACCAGACATAGCCCCCTGAATGAGCAGTTTCCATCTGACTCTCGAGTTTGGGTGCATGCTCTGCCCTGACCCGTTCTCATTGGGTCAGCAGGAAAGTATCTGTGCTACAGATGCATCCCAGCTATCCTGCTCTTTGCTTTGGGGGCTCGACTCTTTGGAACATCTCTGGATAGTCCCGCTGCAGGCTCAGTGTGGCCACAGCTGGGCTGTCTCTGTGTGGGAGGCGTAGCACAGTCCTGGGACACGGGCCTGTGGGATGAGACATTCCCGGGAACCTAGCCTGTAAGCGTGCCTGGGCACAGATAGCTCTTGTGAGCCTGGCCGTGCAGGCGACCCCAGCAGGTACTGCTAGGTCAGGAGGCCAGGGTAGGAACTGTCAGCTCGTGAAACAGCAGCTCACGTGGCCCGAGTCACACAACGGATCTGCCTGTACTCTGTATTTTTTTCCCTCATGGCCACTCTTACAGCTCAGTCTCCACTTGGTACCCTAAAGCAGACACAGCCCGGGAGGTGTCACTTAGACGGGAGAGTGTTTGCCTGACATGCACAAAGCCATGGCTTCCCTTCCCAGCTCTGCATTAAAAACTACATATTAGAGGCATAATTGTCTGTAATCCCAGCACTCAGCAGGCAGGGTATTAGAAGTTCAGGGCTATCCTTGGCTACATGGTGAGTTTGAGGTTAGCCTTGACTATATGAGACCCTATCTCAAACAGTATCAATAAAACTAGACTAATTACCTGATGGTGGAGATGGGAGTCCCCAGAAGGCTGGAACTGAGATGTAAGCGTACAGCTAACCTGGGAGAACCCATGCTTTCTCTCTCCCAGTGCACAGAGGCCTGAACTCACAGTGCTGAAGTGATGCGCCTAACCCTCTCCGCCCCCCAGCTTGCTCTCTCTAACCCTCCCATGCCCCTGCCTGTGGTGGCCTCGTGTTTGTCCAGATAATCCAGGACCCATCCCAAGTCAGGGTCCTCCGAGCTGTCCTGTCCCCAGGGGTGAGGACGTGAACATCTTTAGGGACATCACCCCGCCAGCCATGCTGAGCCCGAGGCTCCTCAGGTCATAGCCAAAGCTCTGCTCTGGACTCAGCACCTCAGAGGTCCTCCAAGCTGTTTGCGAACAGCTCTGTGCTGCCGCCGTGTGGCCCACTGTTTGATGAGGCAAGCAGGACGTAGGGTCCTGCCCTGCTTTCAGAATGTTGGTTATTTCTGTAAAAGGGGTTCGTCTCAGTTGGTTCAGAAGAGGCTTGGCTGTCGGGGCTGCAGGGCTGTGTTGTGGGATGGACCTGCTGTGTCCAGACGCTGGCTCTTGAGGGTGGCGGAGCTGAGGGGAGGTGGTGCTGAGAGTCCTGGTGGAGCTGTAGAGCGCCAGCCCAAGATAGGAGGCCCCCTGTCTCCAGGAAGCACCTTCAAGGTAGGAAGGGTTGAAGCTGGAGTTGGTACCAGTCCCTCCTAAGAGGCACCTGGGGTAGTGATAAAAGCCCTATCCCTGTTTGGGATAGGGTGATCTGGGACCCTTGTAAGGAGTTGGTTGCACTCAGAGGGAGGTTAGAGCATCTGTCCCTGTCTCAAAGGACTGTGGAGAGGTGGCAGGTATGTGCGATCAGGGAGACCCATGTTGCCACACCAGTGTATGGAGAGTTAGCAGAGGAGTCCTGTTGAGAAACAGCTGTCCTGTGCCTGGGGGCCCTACACAGACTGCCTTCTGCTTGAGAGTCTTTGTGTTCAGCAGCGCTCCCTCCCGGGCTTCCCAGGAGCATGCAGCCGTGTGCAGACACCGCTCCTTTCTCACTGACCTGGGAGGATTGAGAACCCCTCGCCAGGGTGCTGAGTGGCTCAGAATCCTTTAACTCTTACAGCCTGTTCACCTTTCCTGCAGTGTTGGGGGTCAGGAGTGGTGCCCAGATTGTTCAGACAGTATTTCATAGACCGGCTGTCTGTGAGGACCCCTGGCATGTACCTCGCTAAGCTGTGTATGCGTCTGTGACCTTCCAGCGATTTGAGCTCAGGAACTAACTCCTCTCTGGACCCCGAGATAGATGTTGTGGCCCCAACTCCTCTAGTGGGGTCCCTGAGACCCTCATCGCACCCTGGCTCTTCTGCATCTCAGAGTCTTTTGGGTCCTTGATCAGCGCCGTCAAGCCTTTGTTTCCGAGCTGAGGACTCACCTGACAGTGGCTTTGTGGAGAAGAAGCAGGGGCTTGTGGCCTTGTTTCCTGCTTCTTGTGACAGGCACACAGAGCAGGACACCCTCTTGTGACTCCAGAGGGGCCACTTGCCAGCCAGTTGGCTCTTTACCACATCCCGTTGTTGTTCAGCGCTACCTGGTGGCGCTCACCATACAGATTCCAGAAGGGGCATCACAGAATGAGGGCCACACTCCCAGCAGACAGGTGTTAGGGAGCACTGCTGTGTAAACAGAGAGGTACCACTGCCTATGCCTTGAGTCCATCCCTCACCAGTGTTGCATCTCCCCTCAGGAGCCCTCATTCTCTCCTTCTGGGCCCCTGGGCTGGTCCTACCCTTGGGGCTGTGTACACCAGATATGAAGACAATGGCCCATGCTGAGGCTTCCTTTGGTTGCTCTTCCCGCTAGGGCATGCCAGCCATGGTGGATGGGCACCGCCTCTGTCTGGGGCTATGAGGGAAATGGATGTGATCTGACAAGATCTTGGCTTCATGCTTCATGTGTTCAGCACAATGGGCCTGGCCTGGTGTGTGCCTAGCTGGTAATCCCACTCTCTCTCCCTAGATGTGGATGAGTGTCGTGCACACAACGGTGGCTGCCAGCATAGGTGTGTGAATACCCCTGGCTCTTACCTCTGTGAGTGCAAGCCTGGCTTCCGGCTCCACACAGATGGCAGGACCTGCCTAGGTAAGTGTCACCTGCCTGGGGATCTGAGCCTCTGATGAACCTCATTCTTCAGAACGTCCTCGGGTCTGGGAGGGGGCCTGGTGTTAGACTATGCACTCAGTAGTTCCTTCCTGTGGAGCATTAGTGCCTGGGAGTCCTGAGCACACCCTGCAAGGAGGTAATGCTCCTCCACCCCTCAGGTAAGGAGGCTGAGGTTTAGTTGGGCAGAAAAGCACGTCCAAGGTCTCTGCTCATCCAGGTCCCTGCGTCCCCAGCCTGTGTCTGCTCTGCGGCTGTGCTAAGTCTTGCTGAGATTGAGACCCTCTGCAGGGGTTGATCAATCAGCAGGAACTCAGGCCTGGCTAAGCTGCCACCAAGACATGGGGCGGGGGTCTCCAGGGGTTGCGTCTGGGTGGTAGGGAGGCAGACTAGGCCTTGGCCCTGACGCCAGAAAGCATTTTTTTTTTTTTTTGGTCTACAGAACAGGGCTTCTTTGGAAGCCTGAGCTGCCACAGTGGTGAGGGGCAACCAGAAAGCAGGTTCCTGGCCCCTGGCTATCTGTAGGATTTCTGCTGTGAGGGAAGGGTTTTCTGGCCTCCTGAGAACACAGGGCCTCTGGCAGCTTAGAGCTAAAGAGACATCCAGAGCCAGGCGGAGGAAACTGTAAGAACAGCTTCAGCCGTCCACTTCTAGTGCGCCCTGGGCACTTGGTCGACCCCTCCCTCTGTTTCTAGGGTGTTCTTGGGGGAAGGCACCCCTACTTTCTCCTTTGGAGATCCAGACAGCTCGGGCCAGTTCTGAGCGGCTAGGTCTTGGCTGCTACAGGGCTGGCAACCTGCCAGCCCTGGGGGGTTGCACCCCATACACACATGTCCCAGCCTCTGTCCGCTGCTCCACTGCAGGAGCCAGGCAGCTGCCCGAGTGAGAAGTAGAAGCAGATGCAGGAATGCTGCCATGTGTTTCAGGGTAACTGTGGTAGTGAAGCCCAACGACTGCCTGCTGGCCCTTCTGGGAGCCTGTGGCACCCTTGTCAGGCAGGATGCTCCTTAAAGAAGGGTGACCCCTGCTGCTGACTCCGGGACAAGGACACTCATTCTGTCTCCATTGACAGTGGCCCTCACTGAGGTGCCCTGAGGGGACAGAGGACCAGGACAGGATGCACCATTAACAGCCAGAGAGCAGAGATGCCTCTTAGACCCAGAGTGGCCGGGTGGCGGTACTGTCAGAGGAAGGAGCCTTGAGCTGCGGGCTTCAGGAAGCCCAGGAGGGATAGCCCTTTACCCTGCCCCGGTCCTGGGTCCACGCCACCCATCGCTATGCTGGAGACAGACGTGTTAGATTCTGTGCCCGTGGGGCCTCAGAAGGAGGGACTCATGGCTTGTGCGTTGTGGACAGTCTGCATTGCCCCTGTGGCTCCCCGCTCACCCTGTAACACTGTTTACGTGAGTGGTTTCTCAGGTCTTCTGACCCTTCCCACCTGACACTTGGCTTGCGGGACATGGGTCAGGTGTGGAGTGGTGACCTCAGATGGTCTCTCACCCTCTCTCTCGTTTTACTGTAACTTTTAACAGGGCTTTTACACTGAAGCTTCCTGAGATCACAGCCTCCTGCTGGGCTGTGTCTGGGGACAATAGAATAATGGCCTGTATCTCTGTTAAGGGACACTACTACAAACTCTCCACACTGGCTCCTCCAGGCGTAGTGGCTTCCCTTCTCTGATGAACTCTGCCTTAGGGACACACTGATCTCCCTCTAAGGGTTTGATGGCGTTCTGGGAACCCCTGAACATTATCTCCATTCCCACACTATGCCCGTGACACAGTTCCCGGCACCCCCTGAGGATCTGGTCCCTACGCATCCTCCATCCTCAGTGGTCTCTCTCTGTTCCACCCATCTGGCTGTGGGTGCTGGATTTTTCTTGTGTGTCTAGAATTCCTAGGGAGCTTCTACAGTGAGCCTGGGTTTGTCAGGCTGGGTCCACCAGATGCTGCCTTCCCTGTGGGCGCCTGAGAAGGCTCCAGAGTAATTGTAGGACTTCCTGTGAGCTTCCTCCAGGAGTTCCCAGGTGCCCTTCTTACCTTATGTCATGCCTCTGCCCGTTGCTGAGGGAACCGCCGTGGCTGATTGACCTGAGATGCTGGCCCAGGATGGAGGTTGCTGGCTGTGGCTGGGAAGGTTGCCTGAGGAAGTCAGGGTGGTGATATTTGTCCTGGACCCTGTGGAGGACCCAGCACTGCCCACATACTCACCTCCAAGGCCGGGCAGACCAGGATAGGGAATGTATAAGTTCTAGCACTGAGATTCTCTCCCTCTCTCTCCCTCCTTCCTCCCCGCACCAGGTCTCATGTACTTGAGGCTGGCTTGAACTTCCTGTGTAGCCAGAGCTGGCATTGAACTTCTATTCCTCCAGCCTCCACCTCCCCCGTGTCAGGATTACAGGCATGCGCCACCACACCGTGCTCCAAATGGTCTAAGAATAGCAATGAAACGCAGAAAGATTTCCATCTCCATTTTCTTATTAAATTTTATTTGTTGTTAGTTTTTTTGTTTTTTGTTTTTTTGAGACAGGGTTTCTCTGTAGCTTTGGAGCCTGTCCTGGAACTAGCTCTTATAGACCAGGTTGGCCTCGAACTCACAAAGATCCGCCTGCCTCTGCTTCCCAAGTGCTGGGATTAAAGGTGTGCGCTACCACCACCCTGTTCTTGCCTGTATATATATGTGTATATGCTATGTGTGTGCCTGGTGCCTGTCAAGGCCAGAAGAGGGGGTTGGATCCCCTGGGCCTGGAGTTATCCGATGGTTGTGTGCTGCCATGTGGATGCTGAGAACCAAACCCAGGTCTTCCGCAAGAGCAGCCGGTGCTTTTAACCATTGAACCTCGCCCCCTGCTCTTAAAAAACAAGTATTTTAAGAAGGACTTTGCCATCAACCCACTATAGTAAGGACATTGTCCCCTGTTTACTCCAACAGGAACAAAAGGGCCCCACCTGTGGCTTGGGATGCACTCTCCTGGGGCGCTCTGACCTCTGTCTCGTTTCTGGGGTGGTGATGGGGTGGGGAGGGGGACAGCCAGGCCCGAGGCTGTTCTAGCTTTCTGTGCTTGGGTCAGAGCCAGCTCTTCCTTTCCCCAGCCATGGAAAGTAGGGCCTGCCCGGGGTGGTGGTTTGGCTGAGGGTCCAGGAGTGCCATTCCTACTTTCCCGTGACATTTTGCAGAGCTGTGGAATGGAATAGCCCCCGGGATCCTAACACCACAAGGGGAGCCCTCCTCCTCCCTGTGGCTTTGGTGCTCTGAGTAGCATATCCCTGACCAGTGGCTTTTAGTGTGACCTGGACACCGACCTTGTATATGACTGTTTCCTGGCATCCTCTGGGTTGAAGGTCAGATGGGGTCAGTTTGAGGGGCCGTGGTTGTCACTGGGTTAGTCCCATGATCTTACTTCTTTTCATCTCATACCTGTTGGCTCAGGATAGACACCCTTGGGGAGGGTCCTGCTGCCAACACACATGCCTGTAGTGGTCCCACGGCCAGTCACACGGGTGCTATGTGCGCATGACTGGAGGAAGGCTGCCCAGCTCTGCCCTTGACCTGTCCCTGCCTGTGTGTGTGTATCTGACCTTGGCAGAGCATGCTCTCCCCAGGCATCGGGACACTAGCAGGCTTTACAAGCCCCCATCTGCCCTCAAGGCTCCTTCCTGATGGAGAAGCCTTAAGGAAGGCTATTAGGGAAAGGAGGCTGCTGCTGGCAGTAACCTGGTTCTGGGGCCAAAACCACAGGCAGCTCAAGTGTGCAGACTGCCAGGCTCTCCTGCAAAACTCATCCCCGTGGAGCCGCAGATGCAGCTCTGCCCTTGTTTCCCAGCCCTTCCCAAACCTGGCAGGGGTTACAGTTGCACAGGGGTCAGCTTCTCAGCCTTGAGAAGCCTGAGGAAGCCTGGTCACAGGGCGGGACTGCTTCCACTTGGCTTGGGGGAGCAGGCTGAGATGGAACAAGGGTACCAAGGTTCAGTGACCCATGCTGGTGTCTTATCCCAGTCCCGAACCACCAGGGAAGAGGGCACAAACCCTGTGCTGGGTACAGAACCCAGCAGGGATGATTAGGCTGTCACACTGGGCATGCAGGGAGATTGCATGCCACAGGGGACAGAGCTGGTGAGTGAAGGCGTGCTGGCTTGAAATGGGGAAAGGGATGATGGGAGGGGCCCAATTCTGCTGCCCTTGGGTCAGCTGCCCTTAGTGTCACCAAGGCCCAGCACTGGTTTTATGATGGAGCCTTCCTGCTTACAGGACATACCTGCCATGTAAGTAACGCACCAGACACTTGAGTAAATGCTCTGGAGGACCGACGCTGGGCAGTTCTTGTGGCACCTCTCGAGGATACAACTGGGAGCTAAGGCTTGGCAGTAGAAAACTGCCCAGGGTTGTGGGTGTGGTGTGAGCAAGATGTGAGCTGGGGGCCTAGAGGCTGCCTGTATGTATGTATGCATGTACATATGTATGTGTTATGTATGTATGTATGAATCTCCTCTGTGCTGCTGTCTGCCCCTGCCTTGTCAAAGAGCTTCCTAGGACAGACTGCTCTGGCCACTGACCATACATGGTGAGAGCTCTCAACACCCAGAAGCCCACCAGTTTAAGTACAGCGTCTATCACCTTGTGACACCACCCTGCAGCTGGCCTGGACCACCAGGCTGGTCCGAGGGCTGCATTAAAGCAGCCGATGGGCTCGACTTGGCTGATTGGTTCTTGGATGGTCTGTAGTGTGAGTTTATGGGCTGGAGGCTGGAGTCTAGAGCCACCCCAGGACTGTGCCCATCTCATCCCTGCACCCCACGTGCTGCCCACTGCGTGGCACGCATGCTCCTGATGCGAGACTCCAAGACCTTGGCTCAAGACCTGAGTTTGTTCCTGTAGTGCAGGTGCTGGCTCCTAAGACTGGGCTAGCGCCCTTTGTTGGGTAGTGCAGGTGCTGGCTCCTAAGACTGGGCTAGCGCCCTTTGTTGGGTAGTGCAGGTGCTGGCTCCTAAGACGGGGCTAGCGCCCTTTGTTGGGTAGTGCAGGTGCTGGCTCCTAAGACTGGGCTAGCGCCCTTTGTTGGGTGTCATTATCCAAGAATGCTGTACATGTTCGCACAAAGTCCTGTAGGAAATATATTTTTTATGAGATCCAGGTTCTTCCTCCACAAAACCCATTCCTTCCTCCAAGCATTGCATCTCACTATCCCACACTGGGTAGTGCGACTCCTGCTGGTTGTGAATGGAGTTACAGCCCAGCTCTATCGGAATTCCAAACTCTTGGATTTACCAGTTGATTGGTGCTGGCTGCCTTGACAAAACACTGCGTGGGTTTAAGCAACAGGGTTTTATTTTTCACATAGTCGCAGGTCCAGGAGCACGGTGCCAGCCTTTCTGGTCCCTGATGAGACCCGAGCCCCATCTGTGTGACCACTTCTGACCTTAATTAAAGCATAAAGAACGAACATTGTCATATCAGAGGGCTTTGGCCTGTGTGTTGGGGGAGGGGTGCAGGCAAACACACAGACGTTAAGTCTCTGATATAGAGCGTCACCCAACTATAGTCACTGTGTCTGATCTAGAAGTGGGCAGGGACCTAAGGGAGACCTTGGGGATTGTAGGATGGTCCTGCAGGATTGTATGCAGATCACAGAGCCCTGCTGAGTGTGGGGTGAAGGGGAAAATGGTACCCCATAGGTACAAATGTCTGTTGTCGAGACAGACCTATGCAGCCCTGCTGCCAAGACCGGCCTGGTGTTCCCACTCCTTCAGTACCGTGATTTCAGGTGTGTCACCCCCTAGCTGAGGTTCTTCCTGATGAGTGTGTACTGCCTGCAGGGAGGCCAGTCCCTGACCTCTGCTCCAAAGGTGGCTCAGCTTTGCTCATGTCTGACCTTGAGTCTGATTTCTAGAACCATAACCAGATGTGAGCCTCTGGCTTTGGCGCTGGGCAGAGGTCCCCAGAGTGAATGTCCTTACAGCTGGACCTCAGTAACTTGAGGGGCCTGAAGAAGTCTCCACCAGCCCCGAGTCCCAGACACACAGACCGTGGCCATTCCCAGAGCTGTGCAGCCCCGGCACCGAGAAAAGAAAATCTGTCTGGTTTAACTTTCCGGGAATCCACACACAAAGGGGTGTGCTGGGTGACGCTGGCCTGGTTCCCTGGTGTGCACAGCTTGGGAGCATCTGTGAAGAAGTCACAGTTCTGCGGAGCAAAGGGCAGGGGTGGTTCAGAGGGTGTGAAGCGGTCCTGGAATGCCAGCCCACGGTGGGTTCATCCATGGGCCCATCTCAGCTGCTTTGCCGGTGACCAGATTGGAGACCAAACACCTCTTCCTCCTGGTTGGCGGTGCTTCCTGCGGGGATACTGAGATGTGGTGCCCCTCTGTGCCTGCCGGCCCTGCCAGAACGGGCTTCTGGTTCCGATTACGTGTCCCGAGTAGCGATGCAGTTGGTGTGGTGAGAACGGGGTAAACAGAGCCCCTAGGAATGCGGGGCCAGCTGAGGCCATGTGCACGGGCGCCCGGGCGCCTCTGGAGGCAGGGATGGTGGCTGGACAGCTGACTCAGGTGAGACCAGCCAGGCCTGAGGTCAGCATGGCTTCCATCCAGTGTAGGGGTCAAAGCAGAGTTGGGGAAGGCCTCCGGTTAGCAGGCTTACCTCCGTTCTGTAGAAAGTTTCTGTGGCCCCTCCCTTGATGCATATGTTGGGGGGCCCTGGGTGACCAGGAGATTAGTCACTGCCTCCCCATGACTGGCTTTGCCTCAGAGAAGGGGGCATCCACGTGTTCTTCTGACTGTGCTTCACATGAGGAGAGACCTGTTTAATGAGCAATGTGGCCTTTAAGCAAGCTTGCTTTGAAGGAAGCCCAACCTTCTCAGAGCCCCGAGGCAGCTCACGAGGCCCATGCCACTGCCAGCACCCGGGCCTTGTAGTGCCATCCTCAGTGGTGCCAAGCCCCCATTCCTAGGCAGTAATGAACCATTTCTCCAAACCGGGCCGGGCCGCGAACAGTACTGCTTAACGTTGACGGTGTCCCCACATCCCAGGCAGCATCTTAGGGTACAGCCCGGCCCCCAGAGTGCTTTAGTAATGAGTCTTAAGGCTTGCTGACACAACTCCGAGCACAGGCTTGCAAACAGACAGCCTTACCTCCCCGGCCAGGGGCAGCATTCTTGCGGCTTCCCTCCAGAGCTCAGGGCTAACTTCCTTTAACCACAATGCCATTGCCAGGGACTCAATTGTAACCAAACCCATGCCAGGAGCTGGCTGCTATTGCTGTTGGAAGCTCAGTGTTCATCCCACGTGCCTTGCCATCTCCACAGGCCAGCTGAGGGTACAACGGGGCTCATCCACAGAGTGCACAGGCACCCACCAGGCCAGCCATTATCCCTTTTCCATACCCTGCAGCAGTCCAGCCAGAAGAGACGGGGTGCTGCCCTCTGGAATACAGTCTCCTTGAGGGCCTATGGCTGCCGGGAAGACTGGACACTCTGATAGGGTGTGAGGTGTGGTCTGACCTGGGGTAGAAGGAATTTGCTCAGATTTCCTTCAGGTACCGGTGGCCAGGCCTGTGGTCTAAGGCGGCCATTCATAGAGGCTCCATACCTGACCTTCTGCCTTGGCCTGAGGACCAAGGTGGTATGGTGGATCTTGCTGTGCCTCCTGGCTTGTTGCCAGGCAATGAGCCAGCTGCTTCTCAACAGCCTCCTAGTGTTGCTTGTCTTGTGCTGGTGGGGGCGGACGGGGGTGGTGGTGGTGGTGGGTGCACCGGGGATGCTAGGCGTCTGCCAAGGTGAACGGATCCACCCTCCTGGGTGGGCTGGGTGTAGAGGATTCAGAGAGATGTCCATTGTACTGTGGACCCTGTAGGTGACTGAGAAGAAAGTAGAGTCAGGTTGGAAACAGAACAAGAAAGAGAGGGTAGTGAGCTCTCGTGGGAAGCCATCCTAATCAGATCGTTCAAGCGAGAAGGATCTGCCTTCTCGGCCTGATCGAAGCTCTTCATGTCCTCAGCCATCAGCTCTTGCACGCTGGGAAACGGTGGCTGCCAACATCAGTGTGTCCAGCTCACGGTGACGCAGCACCGCTGCCAGTGCCGGCCCCAGTACCAGCTGCAGGAGGATGGCCGGCGCTGTGTCCGTAAGTATGGCGGAGCTGGAGAGTGAGGGGGTTCAGGGTCCAGGAAGGAGCCTGATGCGTGATAACCTGGTGTAGGAGGGAGGGAGGGAGGCCCGGGCTGCTGTGGGCCTGAGACGCAGGGATGTGAGCACTGTTGGATGGCATGTCCTCGGGGCAGGAAGTTCAGGATGGAGACAGTACCCCTCTTCCTAGATGACCATCTGGGGTTTGGGCAGAGGAGGCAGCCAGGTCAGTGTGTAGGACTTTGGCCTGCATGCATAAGAGAAAGAGATTTTGCTAGAGGAGTGTGTGGGGCAGGGTCAGAGCCCCTCCCCCAGATGTGGAAATGGGACAGAGTAGGTTCAGGGACTCCCCAGCAGAGGAGGAAGTGAGTGTAGATGTGAGGCCAACCGTGCAGGCGGGAAGACATAGGGTTTCAGGGCCAGGGGGACTCAGACTAGGGGGACACAGTGCTGAACAGGTTACAGAGCTAGGGGTGTTTATGGAGCTTGGGGTCATACAGCTGAGGGGTCACAAGGCTGGAAAGGACATGGCATAGAGGGGATCACAGGGCGGGAGCTGTGAGGTTGAGAGGGAACCACAGGGTTGAAGAAGAGTACAAGGTCTTGGAGGATCTTAGGGTTGGATGATCACATGATGTCCTTGAGTCAGAGGACTGGGGAGAAGGGTTTGGGGTTCCTGGCCCTGGTGTCAGTTCCAACACCTTATCCCAAAGCAAGAACTCTGGGAGGAGCAGGCAAGGCTCATGGCCAGAGCTGACCTGGACTGCCCACCTCCTCGCTGGAAAGTTCTCTTCTAGCTAGGCCTTGCTTTCTGCCATTGGACACATAAAATCTTTGAGAACCATGATACTCACAAGTCATGGGTACTCTTGGGTACTGACTCTAATAGAACCTTAGGATCTTGGCCTTGACTATGAGGTCTTCTTGGGGAACCCAGAGCTACTACAACTGGGGGGCCATGGCAGAGGCTGGAGCAGAGACGGATGGAATCCTGCATTTGTCAGAGTCCGCCCCCCATCTCTTCTCTTCGCCTGCACCCCTCTGGCTCTGCATGCAGGGAGAAACCCGTGTGAGGATGGCAATGGTGGCTGTATGCACATATGCCAGGCACTCCGGGGCCTTGCCCACTGCGGCTGTCACACAGGTTACCAGCTTGCTGCAGACCACAAGGCCTGTGAAGGTAGGGTGCTTTACCAATCCCCAGCATCCCTGAGGCGCCATGCTGGATGGGTCTTTGGGTGACCTAGGGTGATGCTTAACTGCCTCTCCCTGATGCGGGGGGGGGGGGGGGGTGTGCCCAAGGAGCTGTCTACAACCGGTCAAGTTTCTGCAGAAGAGAGGAAACTTAAGTTTCTGTCTTCAACATACTTCCTGTAGTGGTCAACTAGCACCTGATCCTTAGGACCCAGGAGAGCAAGCAAGGGGAAGGAAAGGGATCCCTGATAAACCCCAGAAGTGTCCCAGTGAATCAGCCCTGGGCTTTCTCGGGGCAAGTGGTGTTAAATGCATTAACTGTAGCGCTACAGTATGGCACTAGTTTCCAGAACCCCTCCCTTCATCCTGCTGGTCGCTGTCATACAGCGAGGCCAGGTTTGTGCTCCACGACATCCCTAGCTGTGTGTTGTCCTGACATCTCTGTAGATAGGTAGGTCTGGGATGGGCAGCCTTGGGGGAAGTCTGTCCTCTGCCCAGTGACTTTGGGGTGAGTGTGGTGCTCCTAGGGCCATCAAAGAGGCAGTGGTTAGCCTTCTGAGATGTCATGTCCGGTGGCCAGGTACCCACAGGACAGGGGAAGTCGATGACTACTTACCAATCTGCACTAGGAAGTCATTACTAAAACCCCTTCTGGGCTCAACGTGAGACCCAATCTGTCTCCTTCCCCAGGGATCTGTCAGGGTGTGCATGGCAGGTATGGGCCAGCATGATCTCCACTAAGCCATCTAAGCCAGGAAGCTGTTAATGAGCCCAGGGATATGGGGCCACCACCACTTTCCCCACAGTTGGGAGCCTCTCCCTGCTCTCTCTCTGTCTCTCCCTTTCAGACGTGGATGAATGTGCCACCGGGCTGGCCCAGTGTGCTCACGGCTGCCTCAACACCCAGGGATCCTTTAAGTGTGTATGCCACGCAGGCTATGAGCTGGGTGCCGACGGCCGGCAGTGCTACCGTGAGTTGGTTGTGAGCGGTGGACTGGGGAGTGCTCCGGGTGCTAATGTGGCTCCCCAAGACCCTAAAGTCAGTTTTGGTTGGGCAGCTCTGGGTGTGGGTCCCCAGGGGCTGGTTAGGGAGAGCTGGACCTTGTCCCACACCCCAGCTGTCTGATGTCACCACAGGGATCGAGATGGAGATTGTGAACAGCTGCGAGGCTGGCAATGGCGGCTGCTCACATGGCTGCAGTCACACTAGCACGGGACCCCTGTGCACCTGCCCTCACGGTTATGAGTTGGATGAAGACCAGAAGACCTGCATTGGTGCGAGCCAGTTCCTCCCAGGGTGCCTAGCCCCTCCAGCTCCAGGACTCTGCTACACCCAGACCTGGGCTTGTTTGGGGTCATGACTTGGAATTTTCTTCTCTCTTTGCTGCTCTGACTGCCTGGGCTCAGCAGGAGCTGCAGGAGATCTGATGAGAGTCAGCTCAGCTCACAGGCTTCTGAGTGCTCGCATTGGCCTGTGAGGCTCTGCCTGCCTGCATCCTTAAGGCCATTGACTGTGCATGTGCCTGCTGTGTGTGTGTGTGTGTGTGTGTGTGTGCTTGTGTGTGTGCTTGTGTGTGTGTGTGAGAGAGAGAGAGAGAGAGAGAGAGAGAGAGAGATCATGTCCATGTAACCTTGTGTGTGTGGTTGTAGGTGTACATATCTGCATATTGGAATATTGGATATAGCTATGCGAGTTTGGGCAGGAATGAGTAACTACAGATATGTGTGATTCCTTCCAGGTGTGTGTGGCTCTATGCCTGTATACATGATTGCATGCAGTATGCAAGCGGTTGTGAACAGGTTCACATGTGGTCCCATAGGATGGTGTAATGGCATGTACGCGGAATGTGCATGGGTTGTTGCCGTGGGATCGTGGGAGGGTGTATGTGTATCCATGGTGCCAGTAGGCTCCTGCGTGTACCCTGCAGACATCGACGACTGTGCCAACTCCCCGTGCTGCCAGCAGGTGTGTGCCAACACCCCTGGGGGGTACGAGTGCAACTGCTACGCTGGCTACCGGCTCAACCCTGATGGCTGTGCGTGTGAGGGTGAGCACATGCTGCCCGGGAGCAGCTGGGTGATTGGGGGAGAAATATCGGGGTCTGCCTTGGCCCTCCTGAGGTGGACATGCTATCGGCCGGCTTCTTGCTCCGCTTGCGGACATTGATTACCTGCCTGCTGTGAACTCACGCACACCCGTACCGCCCACACTGAACACATGTAAACTTCTGTATGACTTCTTGCATACCACACATAAGTCGTCCATGTAGCTAGCCAGTCTCACACACAGACAGAAACATGTACTTGTATGCAGTCAGGTGCATGTTAATCAGGTGCACACACCATTGTGCCCCCTCCCCACCGCCCTCTGGCCAGTAGTCTCTGGCTTCCCTCACAGGGTTGGGGACATGCTCCTGCCTGTTCTTTAAATGACTCTCCTGACAGATGCCCAGTGTCCCTTCACTCTTGAGTGGAAAGACCATGGCTGGGGGTGGGGGTGGTAGTGCTACTGGCTGCTTAGGGGATTGAGCGCTTGACCCTGTCCGTGAGGCACAGCCGGGACAGGCATGGGTCTCCGGGCTTCTGACCCTGGGAGCACCACCCCAGCAGCGCTGTCTGTCTGCAGATATTGACGAGTGTGCCTTGGGTCATAGCGGCTGTGAGCATCACTGTGCTAATCTGGCTGGCTCCTTCCAGTGCTTCTGTGAGGCTGGTTACCAGCTGGACGAGGACCGCAGAGGCTGCACCCGTGAGCTCCCCCCAGGCATTGCTGCCTTTTGGGTGTCTGATCCCAGTAGCCCACATGTCTGGCATGCCAGCTGGCTTGCCATCACCTCTGTGAGCGTATGGTCCTGTCTCCTGCGGTAGGGGTGGGGCCAGCAGGCAGAGGGAAGCAGGTTGGTGGGATGAGGGCACAGTGTTGCAGGGGGTCTTAGACACCCAGTTTCTGTGCTGACCGGGTGAGGGAAGAGCTGGGCCCTAAGGCAGTGTTGTTGAGTACATGGGCAGGAAAGGCTGAGAGGCCTGCGTGTCCTTCCCCAGCCCTAGAAGAGTCCGTGGTAGACCTGGATGGCCAGCTGCCCTTCGTGCGGCCCCTGCCCCACATCGCGGTGCTGCGGGACGAGCTGCCACAACTCTTCCAGGGTGACTATGGGGCCGAGGAGGAGGCAGCGGAGTTGCGGGGAGAACACACACTCACTGAGAAGTTTGGTGAGGCATGGGCCTGGCCTCATGGTTTCTCCCCTTAGGGGATGGCAGCTTGCAGTCCTGGGCCCTGCTGCCCTATGGGAGGGTTCGCCCCTTATAACACATACAGCTCATTCAGGGCTAAATAGGCCCCCAGCTCCTAGGGTGGGGTTCCCGTATCTCACCTTGGAGCTTAGAGACGAGGGAGCCCCTTGTCCTCTCTTCTTTGGCCCAAGGGCCTGAGGCCAGGGGATCTAGCTCTGACGTCCTTCTCCCCATCTTCCCGCAGTCTGCCTGGACCACTCCTTCGGCCATGACTGCAGCCTGACCTGCAATGACTGCAAGAATGGAGGGACCTGCTTTCCGGGCCTGGGAGGCTGTGACTGCCCAGAGGGCTGGACAGGGATCGTCTGCAATGAGAGTGAGGCACTGGCGGTGGGGGGGGGGTGTCTAGGCAGAGTCTGTGGGCCCCAAGAGTTGTGAGCATCAATCCTGTATGGTTCCTCCTGCCTAGTTCTGGGGAGAAGAATCTGAGTATGTCCACCCACCCATCTGTCCATCCATCTACCAACCCACCCATCTACCCATCCACACACACACCCATCTGTCCACCCACCCATATACCCACCTACCCATTTATCCACCCACCTACCCATCCATCCATCCACCCACCTACCCATCCATCCATCTACCCACCTACCCATCCATTCATCCACCCACCCATTTATCCACATACCAATGTACCTGTCCCTTCCTCCCTCCCTCTTTCCTTCCCTCCCTCCCTCTCTCCCTCCCATCCACTTACCATCATACCTAATCTTATCTCCCTTTGATAAGAGTCTACTGACTGCCCCCCTCCCCCCCCGTACAAGACATGGTACTAGGATGTGGGGCACTCTGGGAACCAACAGACAGGGTGTACGATGCTTCCAGCCAGTCTCCAGGGATCACAATGGCAAGCCAACAAACATCTAAGAGTTTTGTTTGTGTCTGTGAAGGAGAGCTAGTGGGCAGGCTTCTCTCGTACAGGTAGTGGGGACTTTGAAACCATCTGATAGGAGCAGAGCCTTACTCAGGGCTACGTAACAGTTTAGCTGCTGAAGCACTCTGGAAATGGATCTGCCTACAGCCTTCCTTGTCTTTCCCAAAGCCTCCTGACTAGGAGGGAATTAGACTCATCTCAGACTGTGAGGATCATCTGAATGGGCCATCTGATTGAAAGGGCTAGCGTGTGTGTGTGTGTGTGTGTGTGTGTGTGTGTGTGTGTGTGTGTGTGTTGATTAGTGATGTCTGCCATGAGTGTGGTCCGGGTCATGTGGCACAAATTGCACCTTTTGCCGTCCCAGGCATTTGTTTAAAACTGGTGCCTTTAATGCCAGAAGGACTACAAGAGTTCCGCCCGCTGGTTGGTAATCCTGGTGCTCCCTGTCATCCCTCTGCAGCTTGTCCTCCAGACACCTTCGGGAAGAACTGTAGCTCTCTCTGCACCTGTCAGAACGGTGGTACCTGCGACCCGGTGTCAGGAGCCTGCCGCTGTCCCCCGGGTGTCAGTGGAGCCCACTGTGAGGATGGTGCGTGTAGCCCCTCCCTCCGGGAACTCTAGGGGAAGGGGAAGCCATACAGTTTCTTATCCTTCTGCCTCCGGGGCTTTCGGCTGTGTGGGAGGTGGGGGGCGTGATGTGGGGGCAAGGGGCGACGGGACAAAGACCTTTAGTGAACCTGGCGTTAGTTTTACCTTGTGGTTTACTTCCTGGGACTTACACACAGAAAGTTGAGACTCAATTCCATGGGTGGAGACTTGCTTGGAATGGATTCCCTGGGGAGGTGGTGAGCCCTTGGGACCTGGGGGCATTCAAGCTGAGCTGGTGATGGCCAGCTGGGATTTGTAGAAGGCATTCTGTCTGTGCTGGTGGCTGCCTGGGGTGATGCTTGACATCCTGTCTGGCCATACTCACAGCACTGTGGGGGAATTACAGTCCATGGGAATAAGCTTCTGGGGGGCGGGCGGCTTTGTCTCTGGGTCACTCGTGTCTTCTGCCACTTTAACTGCTCCTGCTAGAGCGGGAGGACACAGTGGACAGAACCTAGCCCCATGGCCCCAGGGTGACAACAGGGCGCTCCAGCAGCCCACAGTGCTCACGGCTTCTCCCCAACCTTGCTCAGTGTCTCTGTTGTGCTTCTCTTACTCTGTGCTGCCAACATGTGGAGACTGTGGCAGGCTCCAGGCGCCCGTTCTCCTGCCGTCTCGGGGGAGGGCCACCAGATTCCCCAATATGTAAACTAAAGGGGCTTCTGGGGACAGACTGGCTGGTTTTCAGGAGTGGAGGTCTCATGGAGCCCTCGTGTTGGTTTCCCAGGCCTTGGGTGTCCCTTACTACCTGACTCTATTCCTCCAGTCTCTGCCTGTGACCCCATATGACCGCACCTCTCTGCTTCCTTCCTCTCTCTGTCTCAAATGCCACTCGCCTGTAAGCTAAGCACATTTGTTCATTGGATTTGGGGATCTTTGAGCAATGTGGGTGGTCTTATTTCAAGATCCAGGAGACTGGGACATGGCAGCTTTGGGGGATCATTTTCGGTTATCTATGTCCCTTTCAATAGGAGGGACACAAGGCAGGGCAGAGCCAGAGGGCAGTATTTGGAGAAGGGCAGCTTGCCAGGCTGACCAGGTGAGGCCTAGCAGTCATCCCTCTTAGGGCTCAGTATTCTGTGTGGGTCAGAGCTCAGGGCACTTAGGGGAGATTTCGCCCCTCTCAGGGGTGTGCTGATGAGTGTGCTCTGTCTCTGGAATGCTCCGGAATGAGGGATTGTCTAGGACAACCAACAGGCATCCCAGTGGGCACAGCTGTCCTGTTTCCTGTTCCCTGACACGAGGCCTCTCATGTCCCCTCGTCTAAGAACTACGTGTGGGTAGGCCAACTGCAGTTCTCACTAAACTGTCTCTCACAGGCTGCCCCAAGGGCTTCTATGGCAAACATTGCCGTAAGAAATGTCACTGTGCTAACCGGGGCCGATGCCACCGCCTCTATGGGGCCTGCCTCTGTGACCCAGGACTCTACGGCCGCTTCTGCCATCTTGGTGAGTTCTGCCACATTTGTCTGTGTGGATGGGACCATCTGCCTTATGCTGAGTCTCACACTGGGCTGGGAGCGTTGCGGCAGCCACTGTGGATGGAGTCCAAGCATCTGGTGCTCTGTCCCTAGGCTGGTGTCACTTCTGCCTCTCTCTCTCATCTGGTAGTGGAGGCGAGCAGGGACAGACTTCTAGGAAACGTGCAGGACACTGATCTTGCCTTGTGGAACAAAACCAATTCCTCAGAGTCCCCATCTCCAGGGGCACAGACACTCAGGACAGCAGATTAGCAGAGAAAGAGGGGGTAAAGGTAGGGTTTGACATTTGTAAAAGAGTTAATTGAGAGGGGAAAACTGGGGTTGTCCTAGCTGGAAAGTGGTACGATCCAGGGATAGCCTCTCAGCTGTGAGGCCCTGGTTCACAAGCAGATGTGCCCATTCCTAGCATGTTCTGGAAGGGAGCTCAGCTACAGTAGGCCCACCAGGGTCACCCTTGGTGATCCAGGCTGACTGGGGTGAGTGCTGCAGTGGACAGGCCCCTTATGGCTCTGTGTCTGCAGCCTGTCCTCCCTGGGCCTTTGGCCCCGGCTGTTCTGAGGATTGTCGCTGTGAGCAGTCACACACACAGTCCTGTAACCCAAAGGACGGAAGCTGCTCCTGCAGGGCTGGCTTCCGGGGCGAGCACTGCCAGGAAGGTGAGTCCTGAGGGGGAGAGGGAAGGAAGTTCTGGGCCACTGGGAGCCTCACCTCCGCACATGGGAGAGGGAGGCCCTGGGCCACTGGGAGCCTCACCTCCACACCCGGGAGAGGGAGGTCCTGGGCCACTGAGAGCCTCAGCT